CTACATGGTCAAACCAATTATTATATTTAAGGCCATTGTTAACATACCTTTAATAATACTGAATCAGCTAATCGTTGCTGCAAGTAATTTTCAAAAAATTAACCCATTGCTTTGTAATTTTATAATTTTACACTTGCAACTGATATAATGAAAAATGATTCATTTTGGAGTGAAAAAGATACTAATTTATACTTAACAGAAGTCATTTTCAAGTTAATCGTGCATCGTCACGAGTATCTGTGTACTTAAAAAATTTATGGTTGGGCGAATTTTATACCGATTGTTTTATTAGGCGAAGAATGATAATTTTTATTCAAAACTATCGCGTTAGTTTATTTGAAGGAACGAATAACCTTTCCCTAGATTATATATCATCGAGTAAAATAATCTTCGATTTTAGTGTATTGTATAAATAGTTTTTCAAACAATTCTCGAATAAAGTACGTTTGTTATTTCATTTCATTAAAAGTTGAATCAGTACAAGTACATTCGATTATCGAATTATACTGAAGCTGCCTGATTTTCTAAATAGTTTCTAAAATCTCACGAAAAATCAGAGATCGATGTATAAAGATTCGAAGGATTAAATCAGACAAATGTTGATCCACATAATGACATAACGATTAATATAAAGGTGTAAAGCGAAACATTGGAAATCTATATATTTTTTAAAAAATATATTTAATATATATTTTATATTTAACATTAGAAACGTAGGACGATACGATACAATGTTATCACATTTCTTGTGAATTAAAATCTCAAAGTAATTTTCAAATAGAAATTCTTAGTTGTCGACTCTGTCGCATTAGTTCTGAGTGACGTGTGCTGAACAGGCGTTGAAATCTCTACGCTCTCGTGTCAGTCGTAAGGCAGCTCGCACAGCGGGTCGGATCGGCGCGTTTTAACCAGGCATTGAAATCTCCACGCTCGGTCACATAATGCGGCGAAACACAGGCATTTTACAAATTGAAATACTCACTTAATACAAAGTGTTGACTTCGCTCACAATATTATCGAAAATGAAATCTTCTCATGACATTCTAGAATGTAATGCGCTAGGAATTTAATGCAGAGAAATTTGTCACTTTGTTATTTTTATTTTATAAATTAATTTGAATGATCCTTAATTTTTATAAATTAATTTATTTTATTTTATTTTATAAATTATATTTGAATGATCCTTCTGTTAGATATTAGATTTGTAGTTTCAATAAACATTTCCAAGGTAAATCACAATTAGTACATATATTAATAACTTTCTAGTAGTAACTTTATGGCTAATTTATTCTTTGCTACTATCTAGTAAATAGTTATATATACTGAGTTAAATCATAGTTACTTAAAATTAAAAAATTATTGCAGTTGATCCAGAGAAGATTACGATTGATTATTATATACCATTTACCATTATTTCATAAAATCTAAAACTTATCTCATATTACTTACGATTATAAATAAATCATTACGTTATTCGATTATCAAGTAAAATGATTTTTCACTTCAGTTTGTATTTGTCTATTTTTCAAAACAATTATCGAGCGAATCACTTACTTCGTTTTCAATAAAAATTCATTTTTAATTCATTTAATTCAAACTTACTAGCCTAACTATACTAGTCAATCTATAGCAACTCCTAGTTACTCAAGAAATAGTAAATCAAATTGCAGCGAACTGAATCGTTGTACCAGCAACGAAAAAGATCAATATTACTCTTCTCCGTTGCTGTTGTTATTTATTTGAAAGCCCAGCCTCTTAGATCGCGCGTAATAAACGGCGCGGCCGAGCGCGATTTTTCGCGGCAAATCAAACAGCGAGGCACTGAAGCCGCAATAAACATCGACTTGGCACATCGCGCGCGAAACTTTTAACACAACTTTCCACCAACAATTCACGCCCGTCCCGTCGGCTAACGGCGTTTCGTCGTCTCCCCATTCACCGGTCATTCGTTCGATACACCATAAACTGGAAGCTTTATGGACTGCACCAGCCCCGTAAATCTATTCTCCGCGGACGATGCGAAACGCGACATTCTCACCGAAAATCTCATTCGGCGATTCGACGCGCGACGTGGCCGTGAATTTATCTGTGAAACTTTCCTCTAACAGCGTCCGCGTGTTTTCGTCGACGTAAATTCGATTTACGACACGGTGAAAGCAATGATTCGTTTATTAAACGCGACGGCGATGGCCACGCCACGGTGTGCTATCTTGCTATCACGTTATAGGCTAACGTTACTTATTATTTAGTCATCGCACCTTTGATACGAGAGGTATATATACTAAGGAGGCAACCTGTCGGTTTCGGTATTTGGTTTCAGAGAAATTGGCCAATGGTGAATGAAAAGGATGGTTCGAAGTGAGTTCAAAGTATTCGGAACTCCTCGAAAGGATACCGATGGGAATTAATGGAATTCTTCAGGCTGAAGTTCATAACTATTGATTTATATATTATGTTCTAATTATTATTACTAACTGATTGGTCGTAGTAGAATTGATTACATCTTTATGCTATTGAATAGATAGTATTGATTACAATTTGTATCAAACGTTGCGCTGATAGAAGCAACTCTTATATTTTAATTAAGTTTTAACGATCGGTATTTTTTCATGAAAAATAATTGTTTTCTTTTACGTGTACAGGATTTGATGCCAGTCTCCTAGAGATTAATGCCGATAAAGATCTGTAAAATATTGTACATGTATATAATATACTGTACAATGATATGCGTATATATGAATTCTTTAACTTGACAATAGTAAAAATGACTGATGTAACTCGTATTGATAGAATTTATTGTATGCTATTGAGTAGATAGTATTGATTACTAGTATTATAGATTGTAGTATATTATAGGTGGTGTTTCCTGTTGTAGTATATTATAGGTGGCATTTCTGATATAGTATATTATAGTATATTATATAGTATATTATTGATGGTATTTTTGTTACAGTATATTATAGGTGGCATTTCTGTTATACTATATTATAGCTAGTATTTGTGTTGTAGTATATTATTGATGGTATTTCTGTTATAGTATATTATAGATCGTATTTTTGTTATACTATATTATAGGTGATATTTCTGTTATACTATATTATAGGTGGTATTTCTGTTATAGTATATTATTGATGGTATTTCTGTTATACTATATTATAGATGGTATTTCTGTTATAGTATATTATAGATGGTATTTTTGTTATAGTATATTATTGATGATACTTGTGTTATATATATTGTGATATATTATTGATGATGGTATTTCTGTTATACTATATTATAAATGGTATTTCTGTTATATTATATTATAGATGGTATTTCTGTTATATTATATTATAGATGGTATTTCTGTTATAGTATATTATAGATGGTATTTCTGTTATATTATATTATAGATGGTATATCTGTTATAGTATATCATAGATGATACTTGTGTTATAGTATATTATAGGTTGTATTTCTAATACTATATTATAGATGGTATTTCTGTTATAATATATGTACTTATGAACAGTATACTATACATAATAATTCTAAAACGAATTC